TTTATTGTACTTTTCACACAGAGGTTGTTAAGAATTTTTTATTGGACTTCTAAATACTTAAGAAATTATCTTTCTAGTCTTTTAAACTGGACACTGGTAAACCTTAAAAAATGGTATGTTCAGAGTTGTAAACTATAAAGTAACAAACAGAATGTCCTAGAACTTATTCAAAACAGAACAAAGAGGACTCTTTTAGACAGGATAATAACATCTTGTTAGAAGAGGTTACATTGGAGCTGTTGCCCAACTACATGATGACATGGAGGAGAAAAGACCAACAGTACACCATCCTCAAATGGCCGATGCGTCTAGAGCAAAGCTACATGAAACAAAGTCAGACCTTGGGAAGTAAGGAGCTTATGTGAGTATAGATTATGGATTTGGAACTTTGCTCTGACCAGTCAGAGACCACTGGGTCTGCGTCCTTTGGAGAGATCAGCTGTTTGGACTAAGGATGCTCAAGACACATGGAGTATATCCATTTCACATGGTGGGCATGATTCTTCCCTTCAGTCTCCAGCTCTGCGGCCTCAATGGCATTGTCATCTGCTTCTGACTGATAGATACATGACATCATGGCAGTCACATTTCACCTTGAATTTAATGGATTTCCACTGAGTAATGGAGAGCTCTTTTCCAGCACTGTTTTTAGTAATTACTATGAGTGCTTACATTAGTGCTGGTTCTCATACACTTACAAGATTCTAGATTCTGCTTACTGCAGCATTTTTTTTTCAAAATGCAGCCAGAGTTCTCCCCTGCTCACCTCATCTATCTAGAATGTTTATTTTTGCACACATCTGCCAACTTGGCATCAGGCCACTATCAAAATAGACCCTTCCATTAGAAAGAGAAAATAGCCTTCAGGGGTAAATTTATATTTAGCTACATCAGTCTGGATCTTGTGGTTTACCTTCACATGTGTCCTAAGATTTAGTGATCAGTTAGCTATACCATCACTGGGAACCCTCTCTGGGAAAGTTCCCCATCCAATCCAATCTCTACCCAGTGAGATGATGATAACATGCCTTGATTCGAATGGAGCTGACTCACTGATTACAGCTGTCCAATTCCTTAGATGAGCTGGTTCTTGGTTTTATTCCAGTGATGTTCACTTAAATTGAACTATGTACAAGAAGGTAGTTGAGGGAAAGTATTTAGAGGATGAAGGCTTCTTTCCAAAGGATAAAATATAAGGTGGGGAGCGGGTGATTCTGTATGGAGTTAACCAAAATGGCAATATTGATTCTCCCTTAAACTGTTATTTTGAAAACAGAACTTGACAGCTCTTATTATAGATTTCTCCCACCCTCAGATGACTCACTGCCTCAAGGGTGCTCAGGAATGGAGGGGGACATTGGCTGTTTCTCTACCCCGTCTATTAATGGCACAATTCCTTTCCTCGGCCTCGAGCTGCTTCCATTGCCTGACTCATAGCACTCTCAGGACTATGTAACACAGAGCACTGTGGTGGGCTGGGCAGAGCTTTAGAGCCTGACTTCCCCATTTACTCCATCATTTACTGTGCAACCTCAAGCTATGCGACCTTTCTGTATCTCAGTTTTCTCCCTTTTAACTGTGGATTTTCTCTCGATTGGTTGATGCACTTAAAACCGATCTGGACCCATTAAAAACTACTAAATATACTCTATCACCAAAGTTTTAACAAATACCCTACTCCCTCCCCATCAAATATAATTTTTAGACAATGACTTTACCAATTACTTCACAGCTCATGTAACCCATGGACGAACCCAAGGACGAATTCGCATATACTCTCTTTTCCTGCCAACTTAGGCTCTACTGTTCTTTTAAAATCTCCCATCAGAGGAACTATCTCTCCATCCAACAATGATCAATCCGACTGTTCACCAGGAGACTGTATGCTCTCCCATCTGCCCTAAGAATATTCCCCAGCCATGCTTGCAGCTGCAATGTTTACCCAAGATAATTTATGGATTACAGTCCTTAAATACAGTCTCCTTATCCCTAAAGTGCCCCACAAAATATCTCACTTGTTTTGTGATTTTGCCATCACTCTGGTGTATTGACAACCTTTGGAAACAAATGACATCACTCTAAGGACAGTTTTTGTTTGTTTGATACCAGGGATCAAATTCATGATCTCATGCTTGGCAGGCAGGTGCTTTTACCACTGAGCTAAATCCCCAGACCTCTAAGGACAGTTTTATAATTTATTTTCACTTTGAAAAGAGTCAGATTTGCTTCAGCTCTAATGAATGCATTTATGAAAAATTAAATGAACATTAGCGCCAAGCTGCATTTTTTTCTAAAGGGAAAATGTTAAGAATCTTGTTCATTAACACTCTCCTCTCTAAGTAATGCTCACTGTGGCTTTTTCCTTCATGAAGTTTTCTTGACTGTAAGTATGGCCTCTTTTAAAAATCCAATATTATAACCATTTTGCAAGAGAGTTTGGTAGTTTTTTACAAAACTAATCAAGTTTGTCTTATTATACAATCCAGGAATCAAATGTAATCAAATGAATTGAAAACTTACATCCACACAAATACCTGCACACAAATATTTGTAGAGGCTTTATTCATAGCTGTCAAAAATTGGAAGCAACTGGGACGTGCTTCAGTAGGCAAGTGGACAACCAAAGATATGTTCTATACAGTGAAATATTAATTCAGAAATAAAAAGAAATGAGCTACTGAGCTACCAAAAGTACAGAGGAAAGTTAAATAGACATTGCTAAGTGAAAACCCTATCTGAAAAACTGCATATTGTAGCATACTAAACATAGGATATTCCAGAGAAGGCAAAATGCTCAAGACAGTGAAAGTAACAGTGGTTACCAGGGTAGGAAAAGAGAGAGGAGGGGAATGAATAGACTGGGTACCGGGATTTCCAGGGCAAACTATTCTGTATGATAACATAATGACGAGTAAATGACACTACTCGGCAAATCCTACAGGACTGTAAAACACAGTGAACTCTAATGGAAACTATGAATTCTAGTTAATAATGCATCGTAGTACTTCATCAGTAGTAACAAATGTACCAACCAACGATGAGTGTTCCCAACGGGAGAGACTGGGCATGTGGCGGACAGGGATTCTATGAGAGCTCCATTTCATCTGTTCAGTTTTCCTGTAAACCTAAAGTTGCTCTAAGAAATAAAATCTATTAATTTTTTAATTCAAGAATATTTATATTAATCACTTCATAGTAGCCCCCAAGGAGGGTATTTTTAATAACTCGGAGGTGTGTGCATGTGTGTGTGTGTGTCTACACCAAGGGAGTGGGACTATTGTGGGTCATCTTGGAATTTTACACACCTCCCTGTCCTATCCTATGCTGTGACCTCTTACAACATCCTTTGTGACAATAGACTAGGCTGATGTCCCCCATACACCCAAGTTGGGCCTTTTATCTTTCCATATATTTGCCTGGATTTAATCTGCTTCCATGGCTTTCAGCAAGTTTTCTTCCTTCCTTCCTTCTTTCCTTTCTTTCTTCAGTATGACTTTTAAAAAATTTGGGGACAGGGTCTTGCTAAGTCACTACCTTAAAAAGATCCCCCAGGCTGGCTTCGAACTCCTCATCCTCATGCCTCGGCTCCCCGTTCCTGCAGGGCTATGGTCTTCCCAAGGCTACTTCTGCACCGAGATTCAAACTCGCAGCCTTTTCTGTGTTCTACTATCAGGACCTTGACGCCGGATCTCACAGAATATTTCTCTAGAATGCAGAGTGGTGATCCTTTCTAGAGCCCGTGCCTGTTTTACACAACCTCTGTGTCTGTCAGAGGAATCACATTTACATGAAACCACGCTGGCTAGACTCTTCATATCCAAACACCTTAGCTTATCTTTCACTAAGCCTTTTTAAAAATTTGATTCCTGCCTATGTTTTCTGTCTGGTTCTTTTGCTTATAAACAAGGACGAGCTCATGGTTCCCATGGAACTCTCCTCTTCCTGTGCCTCCATTTTCTTCAGTACCACAAGTTCCTCATGAGCAGAAGTCTGGGACAGGAAGTGCATTTCGTAAATATGCATTGAAGATCATATTTAGATTCTATTATTTTTGTTCCAAGATCCATTTTAAAATTTCATATTAAAAGATGACTTCAAGAAAGTGAAAAGTTTATTTAAATGGCGGAAAGGGTGAATACTTTATCTGGATGAGACTTACACAAGGGATATTGTTTTCTATTCTATGAGATAGATTTTTCCTTGCATTGATTGCACCGATGTCTCTTTAAAAGCTGCACTGTATTTGTTTTGATTGATTGCAGATGGATCAATGGCTTCGGTTTTCTAGTTAGGTGAGGTGGGGAAGCCACCCCACCTCACCTCAACTACCCCTCCTTGCTTTACCGCTAGGCAATGCATTCGCAGTGTTCCAACCATAACTACACAGGTATTTAATTGTTACAACCAAAGGAGACGGCAGGGATCACTGAAGTGAGCAGGATCACCTAAGTGGACAATTACAAACCACATTTCCCCACCGCGTCGTCCCAGCGTTCTTTCTCGGTTAACTGATACCCACATCTGGTTAGCCTGGGGCTTTCCAGCTCCTGCTTTGCCAAACAAGCCAGGTGAACTTCTTGTGGTCCCCACTTTTAAAACCAGTCCTCAGGCCAGGGGGCTTCCACAGTGCCTCCCCCTTGCCCGGCCCGCCTGGCTGCCCGGTGGCACCGCTCGGGAGGCCGGTGCGCTCCCCGGGCCGTCCCCGGGGGGCCCTGACCTCCTCCCCGGAGACGCGAGCGAGGCCAGGCCGGGCCGCCCCGTGGCTCCGCACGGCTCCTCCTCCCCGGACAGGGCCAACCAGAGCCCGGGAAGCAGGGCCGGGGCCGCTCCCGGTGCAGCCGGCGGCGCGGACGCGAGGCCGAGGGGGCGCTGTCCGCCGCGCGCGGTGCTGAACGCGCGGCCCCGCAGCGCCCCCGCGCGCCCGCGCAGCCGAGTCCCGCGAGGTGGGGGCGGGGAGGGGCGCCGGGCGCCGGCGGGGGCGGCCGCACCGCTCGGCCTCGGGGAGGGCGCGGGGAGGGCGGCGGGCGCGCGGCCCGGGGAGCCGGGTGCTGCCTGGGGCTGCGGAGCCACCATCATGGTGAAGAGGAAGAGCTCCGAGGGCCAGGAGCAGGACGGCGGCCGCGGCGTCCCCCTGCCCATCCAGACCTTCCTGTGGCGCCAGACCAGGTGAGGGGCGCGCACGGCCGGGGCGCGGGGCGGAGGGTCCGGGGTCCCGGGGTGCCCGCGCCTTCGCCTGCGAGGCCCGGACCTCGCCGCAGCCGGGGCTCCGGGTCGGGCTCTGCGTCCCTGCTGAAAAACACGCATTCGAAATATTCCGGTGAAGTTTGACGGCCAGCAGCAGATCGGCGGCTCGGGGTGACTGTGTGCGTGATTTAGGGCTGGGAGGGGGCGGGAGCGGGAAGGTGACCGTGACCCGCCGGGCTCCTGCTGAAATTCCCGCCCGGTGACCTGTTGTTTTCCAGCTCCTGTCGGCGGCGAATATCCGCAGTGCCCACTTGTTACCCATTTTTGCTCAGATTCGACCAGCGTAGTCTCTCTGGCTAAGGCTCCGGAGGGGGATTTTTCAAAAGGGATTTATTCTCCCGGACCAGCCTGAAACCAATGGCAATAAACAGCAAAGAAGATTTATTATTATTATATTATTATTATTAATTTCAGCGATATATCAGATAAGACATTAGATTTGCAAATCACGATTCCCAGCCGTGTCTCTTTCCAGTTTTTCTTACACCCTTCGAGCGATGCAGTCCTTCTGACTGTGGGTGACTTCGAATTGGATTAGGCAAAAGTCTCCAGAATAAGAGTGGATGTGGAGAATTACGGAGACCCACATCTTTTTTCCTCATATATGTAATTACACACGGAAGAGCAAATGTCAGCTGTTCAGCACCTGCTCATTAACGAGCTATAGGGAAGCTTCAAATGTACGTTGCCTAGCATCGTGCTTTTTCGTTGGAAAATATGTCATCGAGATGCTTTAAAAGTAATTTTACTTGTGTTTGTAACAATCTTTTTATTAATTTTTCAGTGCTTTTTTGAGGCCTAAATTGGGGAAGCAGTATGAAGCTTCTTGTGTGGTATGTGATTTTCTCCATTTCGTGATCATTTCCATATTCTCTGTTGTAACTTGAATCCAAAGAAAGACTAAGTCATACTGATCGTACATATTAATCCACTCGGCCGTATTACCGAACACCTCCCGTGTGCCATACACAATTGCACTCCCAGCATCCAGCAAAGAAGAGACAACCTTGTTTACATTCTAGTAGGAGACACACAGGCCACAAACAAATTGGTTAGAAAGATGCAGAATGAACCAGATGATAATAAGCACCATGTGGAAAAATTAAGCAACAGATATTAGAGATCATTATGATGGGGGTCCTAATTTATAAGCAGGGGGTAGAAAAGGCCTGAGGTTGTGCTTGGGAATAGCTTGGGTGGTTGAAGAACCTACGCCCCCAGTGGGGAATGAGTGACAGGTGGGGAGTGATTGAATCACAGAAGGGAGGGCAGAGTGGTAAGTGAATCAGGTGGTAGAGGCAAAGGTGGAAATTCAAACGGTTAATCAGCAAAACTGAGACCATTATACGATGGACCTTCGTAGGAGAAATGCTGTGAATTGCCTTAACAATATGCAATTCTTTACTTGTAGGTTTTGCATCTATTTTTCAAATCAGAAAATGTATGCTATGAAATAACTGAGGGAACAGTGCTATTAATGTGTATACAGAATAAAGTATGTTTGTCCTGAGGGTCTAAGTGAATCCCATATCCTTACAAATTCCCAGTTTATTAACTGAGACAATAAAATATGGAAATCGTGAAGCAAAATTGAAATGAATCATAACAGACTTCGTTAAAACTCGGACCTTTCATGGTATGTACTATAATGTAAAAGTAGAAATGTGCCTATTTACACAGGTTAGAGTCATAAGCTGTGATGGAAGCCAACTGGAGAGTTACACACACACACACACACACACACACACACACACAAACACACACACACTGAGGTAGGAATTTGTCTTGTGTCTTCTTTCAAAGTTGTCACAGAGATATTTTTGAAATATAAATTTCTTGTAAGGATCTGTTAATGGAATTTCTTGTTGTACCTAACTTGTAAGAATAGTTTGGCACCTGAAATCTTTAAACTTTCCTTAAACTATGCTGACAATTACACTCGCTTAAAAACCATCATGATTTTATAAGTCTGATATTTTAGTGTAGTCAAATTATGATAGGTAGACAGATAGGGATAAAGACAGGGTGTGCAGGTATCAGCATCAAAAACAATTTCCAGGATTTAAAAATCATAAAAAAGAAACATTAGTAATATTTAAGAAGAAAATTACATCAACTTCCCCAAACTCCCCAAGAGGATGGAGTATAGAACTCACCCGCTTCATTGTATCCATTAGTTGTATAAATTCTTTTTTTTTTTTTTTTTTTTTTTGTCTTTTTCCTTTTTATCGGTACCGGGGATCGAACTCACGACTGCCTGCTTTCAAGGCAGGCGCTTATGCTGCTGAGCTAAATCCCCAGCCCCCGTATAAATTCTTTATAATCTTTCGGTCACCTTTTATTTAATATCACCTAGATATACAGACATATTTGGATTTTTCCAGCATAACTAAAGGTTTCAATTTAATTTCCTTAAAAGAAAAGACTATACATGGGTGTACTCCTTACCAAAACTTTAGTGTACCTCGTATTCATAAAGGTGAACTTTTTGAGTTAAAATGTAAATAATTTTCTTTGGATAATCTCTTAATAAGCCATATCTGTTTCCTAAATAGCCTAGTAATACAGGATAAATATCTGGTAATACCATTAGAACAATTAAGACTTGTAGTATTTTGATCTTTCTACAAGATAATTTTGCTAATTCCTTGATGACTTGGTACATCGAGCACCAATCATGTGTCTGCTATTCTAGTACTTAACAGTTTCACTTTCTTCAGCAGCTCGTAATGACATTCTTTTCCACCATTAAAAAAGAAAACAGTGGGATCAACTTATTTTTTGTTCTAGGAGACTTAACAAGCAATAAAACAAAGATGGCTCATTCCCTTCTCCTTCTTTCTCTCCCTTCCCCTTTCTGTACTGTACAGTGTTCTTTGATTTTTCCAGAATCTATTTTAAGGAGTGTTCTGTGTCAGGCCATTGCTTGGGACATGGAATAAATCAGGAACCTCAAACTCAGATTTCTTGGAGGAGCTCTGTCTTAGTTAATATGTATTGAGCAAGCTGACATAAATTCTGTCTCTTAACGACAGTTTAGTGGATCACATTTCATTTTGGTCTGCAGTTGTGACAGCCCCTTTGAATGACTCAGTAATGTTCTGCAAAATATTATATTAAGAAAAATCTCAGGGGGTTATAGGCCTGATAGTCTTTGTTAGAGGAAGCTTATTTCGAAGGAAATAAGGATTGCTTAGTAATTTAAGCCATTTGGATCGGAGGCCTGAAAATGAACAACAAGGAGAAATTATAATTGACCCACTGAATGTCAGCAGATGCATGCCATGCCATGTGAGTGCATCTTTAAGAATTTGATCCAGTGACGTGGATCATTTAGGGTTTATGGAAGCTCAGTGTATAATTCTTACCAATCAGGATCTTCAGTTTCTCATCTTACATTCCTTTTTTTAACCTACAGTCCTTTGAACGAGTGCTGGTAGAAAACAAATTGCATGGCCTTTCTCCTGCCCTGTCTGAAGCCATCCAGAGCATTTCCAGATGGGAGCTGGTGCAGGCTGCTCTGCCGCACGTTCTCCACTGCACGGCAACCCTCCTTTCCAACAGGAACAAGCTAGGTTGGTGCCCCTGCATCGCTTGTTGATTGCACCGTCGCCCTTTATGTTAAACCCTCATGAGAACAGTGTGTACGGAGCGTTTACCATTGTCCCAGGCACTGTGCACAGATTTCCCATTTAGTTCTCACAAAACTCCCTTTGCACTGGTGCCATCGTGATTTCCATTTTACCAATGAGCGAACTGATTATCTTTATTTTAGTTTTTAACAAGCAATACTTAAATATATTTTATTATTTTATAATAATAAATATTATAATATAATATAATATTTATATTATATATAATAATAAATATAATAATAAATAAATATAATAATATAATATAATATTTATATTATATATAATAATAAATATAATAATAAATAAATATAATAATAATAATTATTATTATAATTATTTATATATATTAAATATATTTATTATTATATTAATATATATTATTAATATATATTAATCCTTTACTTAAGGATTAAACTATTGTAAGTGAGCCAAAGCCAGGGATTTTCTCTTTGGCATATTCTCTTCAGACATTTTCCCAGCTGTGTAGTATTGTGTGTGAGTGTGTGTGTATGTGTATGTTTGTGTACACATAAAGATTATTTTGCAAGTTGTTTTTCTTGCTGGCAATATGTCCTAGCTGTCTATCCTGTGTTAGAAGGCACACTCTTCTCCATTTCTTCTGTGCCCCTCATTAAGGTCTCTACTCAAATATTATCTTTATAAATGGACCTGTCTGGATTCTGTGGTCCAAAATAGAATGCTTATTATCTTCAAAGCCTATACTTTTGTGTCATGGTGCCTATTTGGTAACATTTGGATATCTGATTCTCATAGACTATATTGCAGAGATTGCAGCCAATAAGAAAGTCCCCCAGAACAAGAATGAGTCCTGCCTACAGTTGTTGCTAGGGAAATATTAGTGTCTTCTGGGGAACTGGGGCACAGAGCAAAAGATGTTTCCCAGATCAGAAGTTGAAATCCATTGTTCAGCTCACAGAGTTTACCTTTACTTAGCTATGTGGGTTGTTTCATGCAGGCCATCAGGATAAACTGGGTGTCGCTGAGACAAAACTCCTGCACACCTTGCACTGGATGCTCCTGGAGGCCCCCCAAGACTGCAACAGCGAGCGGTTTGGGGGCACAGACCGAGGATCCAGCTGGGGTGGCAGTAGCAGTGCTTTCATCCACCAGGTTGAAAACCAGGGTTCCCCAGGGCAGCCCTGTCAAAGCGGCCCCAATGATGAAGAAGAGACCAGCAGAAGGAAAGTCTTCCAGAACTCCATGGCCACCGTGGAGCTCTTTGTGTTTCTGTTCGCTCCCCTGGTGCACAGGATTAAGGTAAGCAGGAAGGGAGACTGGGTCTGGGCTGGGACAGAGTCGCGTCTTCCAATGACATCTCCATGGTCTGTGATTCTTGACTTTGTGTGATTTTATAACCAGCCAAGGAATTGGAAGTTTTATTTTTTACTAAACTGAAAAACACTACTTCAAAACCATAAATCGTCATATGTCCTTTACTCACCTAAAAGTCAGTGGTTCTTTACCCGTCTCAAAATAACGCCCAGCATATTAGACATTATGTATAAGGTCAAGCTGATTGAGAGCTTGAATTCTTTTACTATATGAACTGTCGATCTCTACTGGATACCTCTGATCCAGCCTCAGGAGCCATTGAGTATCCTACTATCTATGGAACAATTGTTCTTCCCATCTTTTCTTCGTCAGTGGTATGTGCTGAAATATGGGGAAAAAAATTGTGACTTGCCGGGTGGCCCAGTTTGGTGCCATCCCTTGAATACCTTCGTGCTCCCTGCTGGGACCTCCTTTCTCTTCTGTCTTCCTTCTTGGTCCTTCAAACTCCAGTTTCAGTCTCATCATTTTCACGAGGGTTCCACCCTGCCCTCCGCCATGTACACATGGTCCCTAACTCTTCCATATTCTGTGGCATTCTTAACTGCTTCCACCTTCTACCCCATATTTTCACATGACTGTGTCTTTCTCCTCAGTTCCCTCACAACTCAAATGTTGACACCTTGGAAAGTTCTTTCTTGACGACTCTTGTGCCGTGAGCATATTGGCCTATGTCTTCTCTATTTTTTTTCCTTAGTACTTATCACATCCTGAGTTTTCAGGTTTGCATGATTGTTACTGCCCATCATTCCCACTCAAACAGTGCTTGTTGAGTACAGGCACACTGCTTGTGATGGTCACACTGCTTCCTGAATGTGTGGCCTAGTGTGTGTCATATAAGATGCATCAAAAAGTTTTTAACGACTCACTCATTGAAAAAATCCGAGTTATTATCAGAAGCCGATCCAAGTGCTAAAAACAGCAATTGTGCATGGATACATAGTGCTCCAAATGGAGAAGACAAAGAAAAAGATTCTTAGAAAGAGCCTAGAAAGTGGTGTGTGTGTCAACAAATATCATCTGCATTGGAAAAATGTGGAAAAACAGGGATGCACAGAGAGGCTCTAGCTTTGTTTGGAAGACATGGCTGGGAATTCAAGATGTGGAAACAGATTACACTAAAATCCGTACCACCTGCTTTCTGCTATAAGGCACTGAGCAGTTTACTGTAGCCTCAGTTTCCCCAGGAATAAATTGGACATTAGAATAAGTTTACAAGGCATTGTGAGGATTGCATGGGTTATATTGCTCAGCCTGACAAACAGAAAAGCATCAACAAATATTAGCAGGCCTTGAGGTTGATATTTTATTGCTATTGGTATTATGTAACATTGGTAGAGAAGCAGCTAAGTCCTCTTTCAGGAGGAAATATAGGTAGTTGAGAAAGCTCACCCAACAGCCTCAAGTTTTACCTGTGGCCTGGCAATGGGACACTTAGAAGAAATAAGAAAATGCATGCAAACGCCACACAGTGATAAATAGTAAATCATTATTATTAGCTCTACTTACATCATGCCTATTGTTTTGTCCATTTGTCATTGCTATGAGGGAAGTATTGTTCTAGATGCCATGAAGAATCAATAGTCCCCTCAATACATTTCCCTGGAGGCCTTTTCCAGTCAAGAGAGGAATTTCCTTTTCCAGTATAGTTAGGGAGTATAAAAATCCTCAGATCAGGACCTTTTGGCCTCGGCACTGTTGGCATTTGGGGCCAGTTATTTCTCTGTGGTGTGATGCATTCCTATGTCTTGAGGGACTTCTTATCTCTCTGTCCTCTATCTGCAAGATGCCAGTAACCTACCCTCTCTCCTGAGCGGTGACAAACACAAATGACTCCTGCAGTCACCAGATGTCCCCAGGTAGTCGGGTGCAAATGAATCACCCCTGGCTGAGAGCTGGTGCCCTCAGGCTTCCTTAGCTTGCAGGTAATCAAACTGCACCTGTCTTTTCCTGTCCATCCTGCACCCGTGTGCTTTGCCTGACACCAGCACAACTATATGCTTTCCCTTCACTCTTCCAACCCTAGATCAAAACCAAATCCCACCTTTTCTAGTCTGACCCTGGAGACTACCTACTGCTGGGGAGACCACACGACCATGGACTAGTGCTTTTGCAAAGCCGTGACAGCCGAAGTGTGCGGCCAGCTGGTCAATCTTTTCTCTTACTCCTTAGAGAACTGCGGGTTGAGCCTCGGGTAGGACTACGGACTGGTGAGGGCCAAGCCTGGCTCAGTCAAGGCTGAGGCCGCCACCCCACCACTTCACCCTGTGTCCACTCCTCGGCCTCTTACCCTTGCTTTGCTCTCTGCCATTGCATGGCAGACAATTTTCAACGTCGTCTCTGATTTTTACAGCCACCCACAAGGGCGGGTTTCTCTGCTTCTGTTTAGCCAGAAAGGAAGCTGAGGGTTGCAGAGATAATAGTAAAGCTGATTAATAAACCAAAGTTAGATTCAGGTCCAGTGCTACCTGACTTTCTGCAGAATTTGGTTCAAGGTTCTGCCCTGGGGCTATTTTCGCTGGCCCAAGAGTAGCCTCTGAGCTGTCGGACCTAATCTCTCTCTTGCAGTATTCATCCCAGCTGTCTTTGAAACCACATCAGGCCTTTCTCTTGAAACTTTCTGTTTTCTTAACAACCCCACATTCTGTCCGTTGTTCTTGCATTCCTGATTATTTCTGCTATATCTCTTGCGAACTTAATTTCTTTGTCCCGTCAATCTTGAGGTTCTCCAGAAATTCATCTTGGCCACCTTCCTCTTCTTACTACATCTTGGCCTCAGAAGAGCTCCTTCCCTGCCCCAGTTTCACTTGCTATTTCTGTGGTACAGGCTGAGATCACCTACTTCTGTGCTCTAAAGCAGACACCTCTCTTGGAATCTAGACCAAGTTTTCAACTGACTTCTTCAAATAGCTGACCCATAACACATCAGGTTCCCCTGGAGTGAGCCCTTGTCCCCTGTGCTGCATTTCAGGTCACTTGCACAGACTCATGACCTTTGCTTTCCCTCTCATCCTTAGCCGCACAAGCCACTAATCACAGAATCCTACCCATTTGTCTCCTAACTAATTCTCAAATTAAAACATTTTCTCACTTTGACTTAGTACTTTAACTTAAGCTCTCGCCATGTCTGACTTGGACTTCTTTCTTCCCTGGGTTCTCCCATATGATCCAACATCAGTACCAAAACAATCTGTCTAAGGCATGGATTGATCTGTGTGTTTAAGATAGTTTGTTGGTTCTTATCATCTAAAGGATAAAATTCCAATTCCTAGATCTCATGTACTCAGCTTTCCATATGTTTGACTATTTCTCCTGTGTGTGAGATCCAGATCTTTGCAGCCTCCTCAAGAATATAATTTTTATAAAGCCGTTTGCAAACAGGTCCTGCTCCCTGGAATGCCTCATACTTACTCCTCTGTCTAGAAAATACCTACCCATTCTTTAGAACTTCACTTAAATTCCATCTTTGCTCCTTCTCTATTTCCATAATACTCTAGGGACATCTTTATTGTTAATACTTAGTTTATTGTCATTGTCATCCCTTCAAGTGCTTTTCTCTCCCACTACATTCTGAATAGTTTGAAGACAGTAATTATCAGTATACGATTATCATTGTAACTAACATAGTTTATGCATTTAGGAGGTACTTAGTATTTGTTGGATGAATGAATTCATTGATAACTAAATTACTCTAATATAAATGGCTCATTAATTTGTAAGACTATTATTTAATGTGCATTTCACTATTTTGATTTATAGTTAACTCAGATATTTCAGATGAAATCAATACTCTAAAAATTATGTCAAATATACTATTAATTTTAGGCTAAACTTAATTTTAAATAAACTTATTCACAAATATTCATTAAACAGAAAACCTGAAATACGGTGTCATAATGTTATAATTTTATAATAGCCACTTGTTCCTTCAATAAATATTTGGAGTGCTTACTGCATGCTAGATATTATTTAAAGTACTGGAGAAATAATAGGAAACAAAGAATGTGCAGGACTGCAAGAGGATTTTAGCGAACTCTATATAGGCAAAGTAAGCAATTTAAAACTGGAATTTAAAATAACAATTGTTTGATTAAATCTAAGAAACTAGTAAATACATTTAAAATTGCTGTGAGATATCATGGGAACAGACCTTCCGTGAGAGCGAGAAAAGCACCTGAAATATAGCAACATGGATTCTACCAGTGTTTATTACAACTTGTGGTTTTTCTCAGGACGTTAAGACCATCTGCTCCACAGCTGCCTAAATGATAAAATAGTCTCTTCTCCAGCTGTCCAGTTGCTGTTTGGATGCGTCATATAACTTTGGGGATTGAATGAAAGGAGACTCTAGCAGAGAGTTAGGGCCCCAGACTTTACAGCCTTCCATCAACTGAAAAGACTTACAAAAGAGCAGAGCAACATAACGGGGAGGCCATGGGTGTTATTGGAAGAAAATGTAGATACGCTCATTCAATCAACAGCTGTGCGTTTATCCTTTTGGAGGAAATGCTCAGAACTCATCTTGTTCTCAAAAATGTTGTATTTGGGGATATAACAGATTAGAACATCATGACGGTAGCTGTCACACTGAGAGGGCAGGTGTTAAAGGGCAGGATTTTAGTACAAGATCTCAGCGTTTCCTGAGGCAGTGTCCATGGAGTTTCACTTGTGTCAGGATTACTCAGGAAAATCATGGAAAATGATTGAGCTCAGAAAACCAAGAGATTAATAAAACCAGGTCAATTGATATTCCACTTCTTGAATTTCTGAAGACAGATCTGGTGAGCTTTACTTAATGTTAATTCCCTGCTTGCTGAGTAATGCCACACAGATTTCCCGTGTCCATTTTAGGGGAATTTGGGTTACTCTCCTCTAACCCCTGTCTGTCTAGCTTCTTGCTTAACATCTCTAGCTGAGGGTCTAATAGGCATCTCAAAGAGTATGTCATGCTTCTGAAATTCCTAAGTCTTCTCCTCCTCATCATCTTGTCCATTTTTATCGATGACAGAACCAAAAATCCTTCCCACCCTTCTTTCTCTCACATTTTACTCCCTACTAATTAGCAAATTCTGTATCCCTAAAATATATTCTGAATCTACAATGTCTCATTTTTCGATTAGCAGCCTCTCCTCACCATCTTTCACCTAGATGATAAAAACAGCTTCCTCAATCATCTGTCCTTTTACCTTTGATGTTTCTCAAGTGACTCCCAGTAGTTTGAGTGAACCAATAACTCGTATGTCCAGTCTTACCACTGCTACTCAGAATTCTCCAATGTCTCCCCTTCTTAATTAGTAATTGCTGAAGAACTTCCTGTGTCCTATAAGACAATAAATTACCTGGCACTTCTCTGGCCTTATTTTTTTCTACTCTTCTCTTGTTCTCTTGAAACCAAGCATACTGTTTACTGCATGTTTTTAACACACAAGGCAAACTTAGAACCTTTGCACTGCTGATTCTCTTTCGTGATATATTTTTCCTGGAGATATCTACATTAGAAGCTCTTTATTTAATTTAGACCTTTAGTCAAAAGACACCTACTCACTGTGCTTCCCTGACCTTCCTGTTCAAGATGTCAGCTCCCTGCCCGAAGCATCCTTGAAATGCTTCATTTCTCCTTTGTCCTGGGAGCAGCGATTTCTATATGCCTTGTTCTTTATTGTATTCAAGACTCTAGAATAGTGCCAGGTGCATATGCGTTCTATAAATATTTGTAGAATAAATGTGCAGTGGGTTTGACTAAATGCTTTGTGAGTTGCCCTAATGCTTCCCCAGGCAGCCCTGGAGGCTTTTCTATTGTGGATCTTGCTGTGGCTCGGCTGCCAAGGGGGCCAGGACCCAGCCTAGTTTTCAGCTTTGTAGAAGAACCATTGCTATACCAGTGTGTGAACTCACTCAGGGAGTGGATCAGCCTTTTCAGCTGCAGATTGCTTGATATCCAGATACATCAATTCACCATTTCAGTCACTTATTTTTCTTTTTCCAATTTCTTCCTAGCTCTTATCCTTTTACTTCAGTAGATTTCAGTGGCAGCTGCTTTTAAGAATCAGCAGGAGTAGTTTTAGAAATCCTCACAGATTCTAAGTTCATATGTCTGGGTGGGGGGCAGGGAGTGAGACCCAAGCCTCCTGTGTTTTAATAGCTCCGTAAGTCTTTTTTTAAATTTTATTTAAAAGGAAAAAGAAAAAACAAAACAAAACAAAGTGGTGTAAGGGTACAAGTAATACAGAACTACAAAAAAAAAAAAAAAAAAAAACAGAAATCACCAGTTAATAGATTACACATTATCATCTTGGAGATAGTTGCTCAAGTCACAGTATCAAAGCATATAAAGTGACATTCAAACAGAGAGACTGCAAACTGTTGTGTTCAATGATCCAACCAAAAGCATTAATATGGTCATCTATTTAACACCGCTAAACACACTTGCAGTTGTATCCTTTAGAGCACTTTTTCCCCCTCTCTTTTTACAACAAAATTTACACATTTTGGGTTTTATTACTCCTTAGTTCTTATTAGTTTTTTTTTTTTTTTTGGAAGAGAATAAAGTCAAATATGGCAAAACAAAGCTGTCAGTCAAAACCAAGGATAGACATAGCACATGATGTAAAAACAGGGTACAAAGTTATCAACAATGGTTACCATAATGCCTCTTGCTTCCCTAAAAAGAATTGTCTATCTCGTTAGGTATTAGAAAGTTGAACAAAACAATAGAGAACAAGACCAATAAAACCTAAACCTTGTACACATTACAGGACTTCCAACGAAGATAACAGTCAAACCGGAATGGGCATCATAGTGAATCTTATTGCCTTCAAAGTAGTTGCCTATACCCTCAAACTTGATACTATCATACAGAACAGAACAGAGTTTAATCAGTCAAAACAAGATAGAGTATTACAGGACTTCAAATCAAGTTAATAGGAAATCAAAAAAGTTACTATAATATATACTGCTAATTTTTTTATTTTTCCCCTTAATTAAAAAAATGATAAAAAATAACTAAATAATTTTATTAATGAATAAGGGAGAGATTGAAATAAAAGAGGACATGACAACATAACAATACAGGTCAAAGCATGACAGTTTCAGCAACCTAGTGCTTCACCACCAAATAACCTGACTTAATAGTAGTTACCATAGTGTCTTTTTTCTTGAAATATTTGAATATAATTTCATATACTATAGCTTCAAATATATCCGGTCAATGTAAAACCATTCAAGTGGATGAAAGCATTGTAGGGTATTTAGAACCAGCTAACAGAAAACAAACAATGGTTTCTATATTATCTCTTTGCCTATAACAATTTTTGTTTATACTATCACATATAATAAAATCCAGCAAGATACATCATGATAAAACCAATGGAGACAGAAGAGCCATAGTTTGGTGGGGCTTCAAAACAAGATGATAGTAAATAAGCACTAGCTATTATGATGACTTATTTTCTTCAAAATAGCTGTTCATTTCATCACAGGCAATAATATCAAGCAGCCCAGAATAAAGCCATAAGTCTTGAAATATGCAAGTCAGGGCTGCAAATCACAGTCCTAAGTAAATGCCAGGGTCTTGAATGTGTTCATTAATCCATGGTCAAATTCTGAGCTTCCATCTTTATATGGTTTCGAGAGGCAAAAGTGTTTAAAATGTAATCTTACAATGCTATATATTTGATTTATACAGAATGAGGGTGAATTTTAAGTATCTCAGCCTCTCAAAAGAATGCAGTGATGAACTAGAGAATATGTTTCTGAAAGAGGTCTTCAGTGATAGATGAATTGTGTGAGCATGGGTTGTAAAGTCAGCCCAATTCAGCCAGCATTTATTGAATATCATGTGTATGGTTCTTGGTGCATGACAATTCCTTGGGACTTGGAAATGGTTGATCTGTCCCTAGCCTTAAGGAGTTAAAGGTTATTGAGAGAACCACATTACAAAGTCACACCCTATGAAGAGTCAAAGTATGTTTATCTGATTCCATGAAATGGAGGAGGGATGTACCAGAAAATACATAGAAAGTCCAAACAGATGGCATCTGGGGATATTGACTATGAGAGAGAAATGAGGACAATTAAATAATTAAGAGGAATTATAGTGATAACCACAAATGGAGCGATCTACCATGAGTCTTGAAATAAGAAAGTCTCAATTTCTGCAAATACAAAACAGTCATTGTGTTTCGAAGCATTGCCCAAAGCTGAATTTTAATTTTGTTAAAATTTTGCATAAAGTAATTACTGTGGTCTCTGCAGTAATTACCATGACAAATTCAGGGTCGTTGTTTTACCCTGGAAACCACCTGGGCATGGAAGGTTTGGTAGATCACCCACTCCGATAAATAAGCTTGTAAGCAATGCGCGCACTGATTCCTTCAGCCAGTGCCCAGGAGCCGGTCACTGCACACAGCTTTCTCTGCCCCCAGGAGTCCGACCTCACCTTCCGCCTGGCCAGTGGGCTGGTCATATGGCAGCCGATGTGGGAGCACAAGCAGCCTGAGGTCTCCGGATTCACAGCTCTGGTGAAGCCCATCAGGAGCATCATCACAGGTTTGTGACCTGCCTGTGAAGTGAGATGGTGATGGCGATCCCCTCACACCTGGGGACAGCAGCATTGGGATGATTTGCCCTAGGAAGCCAAGGAGAAGCGGATCTCTCTGGCAAGGTGTTCAGGTGTCCCGGGGACAGGGCTTAGTCGCATAGGGGAAACACTAAACAAGGACGCGTGCTTTTCTATTCCGTGACTTTGGGTAAGACATTTCAGTGCCTCAGGCCTCTGCTGTAAGGTGTGATTTAAAATATCAAATGATTAGTACTTACAGGATGATCATGAGGAATAAATAAATGAGTCAGCACATGTAAAGGTTTAGAAGAATGTCTGGTGCCTGGTGAGTAAGCAGGAGCTATTACTCTAGTTAGTATCATCACCATTGTCATCTCCTCCTCATCTGCATCCTCTTCCTCCTCCTCATCATCATCTTCATCCATAGATGGAGAAGAAGTTCCTTGACCATCTTGTCTTAGTGTTTCAATGCATCAAAGCACTGCACTTCAGGGACTGCCCAGGGAGAATTTTAGCACTGTTAGACAACAAACAGAACACGATTAGAGTTCATAGGAGGCTCCTCCTACACATGTACTACACTCACGTCTCCTGCTATGGGCATATAACCTAACTCTCCCGAGTATTTCCATGAAGGTGCAGGATATGACAGTGCTGTCCTGCACAGCGTCTCAGTAAGCAGTAAATGAGACTGTGCCTCAGGGACCTTGCACATCCCATGTTTCTGTTTGCAAACTTCTCAACACAGCAATAAAATTTAAAAACACGTTATATGTGGAAAATCTACAGATCTGTGTACACGCCTATATCTTAAAATTTAAACATACATGCATACGAACGTATGTACACAGTTTGCTTAACTTCGTAAGGTTTTTTGCGGACAGTAAGGAATTATGCAAGTAAAAATGGCTCTGTAAATGAAGGAAACTGTAAGTTCTTACATAACTTTTCCCCCAGACCTAATAGTTACACAAAATATGTATTGTGCTAAGGAATTATGTAACCAAGAAGTACCATATTGTTTATGTATTTGATAAGATGCTTATAGTGACAAATGCAGCCATTTTTATTTTAATTTTATTTATTTATTTATTTTTGGACCAGGGATCAAACTCACCACCTTGTGCTTGTTGGGCTGAACTGTATCCCCAGTCATTTTAAAACACAAGCAATGTAGCAAAAGTAGATTAATTACACCATTTACATATGCTAAACCTTAACTCTTGAAACATAAATTCAAAAGTGATGTTCTTTCGTACAAAATATTAATTAGGAAAGTGTGTCATAACTAGATATCTAGTTCAGATTCTGAGATGGAAGGGGTAGTCACTTTGGAGTCAAACAATTGCAGAGTTAACTATAAGACAGATAAAAGACTTTTTTTTTTCTTTTTTTGTCTTTTTCCTTTTTATCAGTACCAGGGATTGAACTCACGACTGCCTGCTTGCAAGGCAGACGCTTATGCCGCTGAGCTAAATCTCCAGCCCCAATAAAAGACTTTTAAAAAATAAAAACAATAGACACATACAGGAGAAGAAATAGGCTTAAGAATGACAAAAAATTTTAGTGGAAAAGCCATATACTCATGATATATTAGTTAAGGGAATTTAATTTTAAACAAATTCTTAATCTTTCTGTGCTTTCCTATATGTATAGGGCAATAATCACTTCAAAACTGGGGCTCACTTTCCCTCCCTTCCTCTCTCCCTCCCTCTCTAGTGCTGGAGACAAAGCACAGGGCTTGCAGATGCTAGGCAAGAGCTCTACCACTGAGCTACCCTAGTCTCTCTCTCTCTCTCTCTCTCTCTCTCTCTCTCTCTCTCTCTCTCTCTCTCTCTCTCCCCTCCCTCCCTCTCTCTCTGTCACACACACACACACACCTCTCAACACAGACACACAAAGGTATCATGTCCATCTGTGCTAGCGTCTGGTCTGGTCACCACACCCTCTCCTGGTTTCTGGGTGATACTCGTGGCTGGTTTCTTTCCCCTGTGCCTGATCCCTGTGACCCTGAAAGGATGCCCAGCATCCGAAGGGGACTTAGTCTCAGCTCAGATGGCATGGCCAGAAAGAGCATGGTGCCCTTGGGAAGCCCTTTCCTTCTCAGTACCCCTTTACTCACCATTCACGTGAGGTTTTGGCATCTTAGTTCCCAGTCTGATCCCAAGGTACAGATGTCACTAGCTTGACTCCTAGTTGAGCGGTGACTTTAACATCCTGAAACACAGACTCTGGGGAAACGTAGCCTGGACTGGGATCTTCGTGTAACTGTTGAGCTTGGGAAAGTCAAACTCCTTGTACCTTGATTTCTTCATCTGTAAAATCACTACAATAATCTATTAGTATTATAGGCTATTGAGAGCTTTGTTTTAATATATGTAAATGCTTAAAAGAGGACTTGGTGTATAGTAGTTTATAAATAAGTGTTACCTGATTATATTTTTAGCATTGCAAGCTGTTTAACACCTTTACCTGCTGAATGAAACTGGAGAGCTGACTCTGCACTGACAACCTGGCTATGTAAAGATTTTTGCTCTGGACCCTGGATTTCTTTTACAAATTATACCACAAAATGACAATGATCTATTAAAATGTATTTTGTTTTAAAATGACTTGAATTTATGAACTGAGATGAACTTGTCATCTTAGAAAATTCATGATGGAGTTTCCTTTATCTTTGCAGCCAAGAGAAGCTCTCCTATCAACAGTCAAAGTCAGACCTGTGAGTCACCCAATCGAGACACAGGCCATGGAGAGGTTAGTTTTTTGTAATTGAGTCTAGGATCATCCTACTGAGTTCAAAGCTCTCTGCTGACCTCAGTGGGCAGCTCTTACTGTCCTCAGGTTTGCTATTAATCAAGTAAGAAAATTAATGTTATGCACCTCTGAAAAGTGTAGAGGCTCTGAACAAGACAATGCATGACCAGTGTCTTATCTCAATTAGTATGTGGAAAATAGTGTTTTATGTCAGTGGCCAACAGGTAACACTCAGTAAATATTAGTTATCGTTATTCGTGTCACATTGAAGTATCATTGCTTTCTCAGTCATTATTAAATACTCTGCTTATTAAGCAACTCTAACATTGGTTGATGAGTGTCTCAGGAAGTGAGGAGGAAGGAGTAGAAAGGAAGTCTAAAGTTTGTTCCTATTTCTTAAGGAATCTGAAATTTCATGAGAAGTCAGTATGTAACCCATAAAACAGAAGATGACAGATAAAGCAATATAATTCAAAGCAAGCTTGTCATATGTAATGAAGGAAAGAAATGAAAGCCACAAAATATATATTGCTATTAACTTAATATGTCATTAGATGATCAGTCTCCACTTTCAAGTGCAAATCAAAACTTGCTACGTTCTGTTAGAATTGGATCCTCTTTCCAACAGTGTATTATTTTCAGGAATATCATACCCTTCCCACTTGCTGAAAATTTAGAGTTTTACTGTATCTGCCATTTAATGAACAATTGTGATTTGTGTTCTTTAACATCTTGTATTTGAATGTACCTGACAGCCTTTTACAATCAACTTGCCTGCTAGTGGTCTTCAGATTGTAGTCACTCTGACTCTGGGGCAACATGAATTTGGCCATTTCCAGCATTGAAATTTGTTCCCAGAGGTCAGTGAGTTAGAAGAAGTTCAGAGGAAACAATGGAGCATTCTTTTTTAAAAATTAAAAAAAGAAACCAATACTTTAAAAAGTAAAATAGCACTTGAAAGCTATTATTTGAGGAAACTCAAATATTAATAATCCTGAATTGAAAATTCTAAATATCCACAGGATAGATATGTAATTAAAAACTATACCTAGATAAATCCAAAACAGATGTTTTAAGAAATATAAAATACAGTCCTCGATAATATATCAAGTGCCTAGTTTAATTTACAAGATCTGTTTTCCTCAATGTTGCATATTTTAATGGTATGTCGCATAGATGATAACTTTGTTATGCTTAACCCTCTCAAATTGATTTGTTGCTGAGTCATATTAATTTACATTATGTTTTAAGATGTGCTCTTTATTCTGCCCACTGCTACCCTTTAAATCTAGGACCTCATACTTTGATTCTCATATAAACCATCTAAGTGGATTTTTGCTGTTAGTGTTTCTGGCTTGAAACATAAATACCGCTGGGTGATAACTAAGTAGTCTTTTTAATATGCTATTAGTTAATTAGTCATTCCACTGAGGCTATTCTGTACATCTCGAACTCCTTGGGGACCCTTGGAAGATCCTTGGCCACTATTTCAAGCCTGAGCTCTTCTCCTGGGTCCACTGTGCCTTCCCCAGCCTGGAACTGTCCTAAGTGCCCATGTTTCTGCTCTCTCCTTTAGTTAGCTGTGCATTGCCCCCCAGCATATGGCGCATGCTCAGTGAACCCTGAGTCTGCTCCCACCGCTTCCTCTCCCTGAGATGATCTCTTTCCTCCTGTCTGTCTGAAGTTTATCCTTTATGAACCAGTAGAGAGCTGAGTTCAAGGGCGCGCCAGAGTTCTGAGCACATCGTGTGCAAAAACCATGAACATCTTAATAACTTTTAATATTGACTACATGCTGAAATGGTCATTTAAGGTTAAAATGAATGTATTGTTAAATTAATTTAGCTGCTCCTTTCTAATGTTCCTTTTGATATTTTTAATGTGGCCTCTAAATCATTAAATTCAGATATGTTGCTATTGTGGCTTGCCTTATAGTTCTATTGAATATGCTGCTCTAGCCTATACTCATTGGTCTTAAAACTTCACCCATTTATGTTTATCCAGTTTTGGGGGGAGTGAGGAGGAGTTGCAGAGATCCAGCTCATGTTCTCACACGTGCCACCTCACCCAGCTGTCTAATGTTTTAATGTCTCCCAAATCATCTAACCTGACTTATACATAGTACACTCAATTTAAGGAATCTTTGATCAAGCTCGGAAAAATTACTTTGTGAAATTTCTGGCTGTGAATATTTTTCTATAAATCACAGTTGAAATAGTCCTTAATGTGTGTATGAAAATCAAAAGTATAAGGCCTAAAATTCTGCAGTAAGTTTTTGGGGTTTCTTTATACTTCAGGGAAGAATTTAATCTGAGATCTATGGGAACCCCTCCCCCACACTTGTCCAGGGCAGTGTTATAAATTAAATGTAACTTGAATGAGCTACTCTGTAAAAGCATTGCTGAGCGTGTACTTGTCAATCAGACTGCAGGTTGTCATTCACACTGAGAAATGTATTGGGTCCCCCCTAAGGAATGATGAGGAAACTAGAACCTGGCCCTTCCGCTATCCTGTGCTGGCCTCAATTTGATTATGTTCTGCTACTCTTTAGCCTCCTGCCTTCGTTCTGTTCTCGGTGTATCTGTGATGACCTGCTGGATTTTGAATTTTCCTGAAGATACTAGAGATAGACGTGAAACAGAAAGAAGTCAAGGGCAAAACAAAATGAGATTTAGGACAGTGCTCAGCAGAATGTAGAGGGATGCAAGTGCACTGTAGAAATCTGTTTCCATTTCCTTTTAGGCAGAGTCAGTATTCCTGAGTCTGTGACACTGTAGCTATACTGCAAAACCAGCACAGATGTGCCTCTGTATTAATGTAGAATCTAATTCTAGCGGATGCACTGCAAGAGGACAAAGACTAATCTACTGTCTCTGCCTCTGGAAGGGACTTCAGGTGGTCTGTGAAACGTTCCAGTCTGATTCCATCTCACCCAAGGCCACGAGTTCAGGCTGCCACCGGGTAAACTCATTTGATGGAAGCCTGTCCTCCCAGACTTCCCAGGAGAGAGGCCCATCCCATTCCAGGTAGGTGAGCTCAAGGTCAGGGATTTAATAGGTATTCCCAGTTACCAAAATTAAATACGTACTTCAGCTACTTTCCTAGTCCCATGATCTTTAAAATATGCTTGTGCGTGATAAGTGTGTGTGTATTCTTGGCCAAGGTGTAGTTTAATAATTAATGGCAGAAGTGCACTATGAATGTCTTTTATGTAAACTAATGCAGGTGGACGTGGAAAGACAGATCTGATTTAATTTGAATTGTTTGAGTCAGATACTACTTTAAGTGTTTTAAATTTTTAAGTGCAGAAACCCTAATCATGCTACCAAGAGATTATGTTGGAGATAACGTTAAATACCTGTTTTAGTGTATACAGATACTTTCTGTACATCCTTTTTAAAAAATGTTTTTAAAGAAATTAAGACAAAAGAACAGAACAAAGCAAATCAGAACAGAGCAATGTAAGCAACACAGTACTTCACAAGACAACCTGATATTAATAGTAGCTATCATAATGTCTCTTTCTTTGAAATAATTGAGCATAACTTCACATACAATAGCATCAAACATAACAAAATAGTATAAAACCATTCAACAGAATGAAAGTATTATAGGACATTCAAAACCAAATAGCAAAAAATGAACAATGGCTACTATCATATCTCATTTTCCTTAAAAAATTTTATACTGTCACACATATTAAAATCCAGTAAAACACAACATGATAGAACCCATGGAAACAGAAGAACAAAAGCATAGTAAAAGTTCAAAGCAAGATGATATTAAATCAGCAATGGCTGTCATAATGTCTTGTTTTCTTCAGAATAGCTGTTCATACCATCACAGATAATAACATCAAACAAAACAGAACAAAACCATTCCAGCCAATGAATGAAAACATTATAAGGCTTCAAAGCAATATAATGAGGAATCATGATTACTATAAAATCTTATGTACTCCCACCATTTCTTACACTAGGGAGACTATGCGGTACTTATACATGTGAGTTTGATTTATTTTGCTTATGAGTATGGTCTCAAGTTGTGTCCATTTATTTATAAATGTCTCAATGTGATCATTCTTTATAGCTGAGTAGTACTCCATTGTATAAAAATACCACAACATTTTTATCCATTCTTCAGTTGATGGGCACTTAGGTTGTTTCCAAGATCTGGCGATTACAAATTGTGCCGCTATAAACATGGGGGCACATATATCACTGTGGTATGATGTTTTCAGTTCTTCTGGGAATATGCCCAGAAGTGGAATAGTTGGGTCAAACAGGACTTCCAATCCCAGCTTTTTGAGGAATCTCCAGATTGACCTCCACGGTGGTTGTACCAGTCTACACTCCCACCAACAGTGCAGGAGAGTTCCTTTTTCCCCACAGCCTTCCCAGCATTTGTTGTTGGTAGTTTTCTTGATCCTGGCCATTCTTTCAGGAGTGAGATGGGATCTCAGTGTGGTTTCAATTTGCATTTGTCTAATGACTAATGATGAGCATTTTTTCATGTATTTATTTGCCATTTGCATTTCTTCATCTGAGAAGTGCGTATTCATCTCATTTTCTGTACATCGTTGCACAGACATGGGTGCTATCGCAAAGTGCTTGGAAAGCATAAAGCCTGAAGTTCGTACGGCCCTCGTCTTGGCCCTGTCATTTCACATGTGTAGTGAATTTGCTTGCAAACACCTTTTCCGGGAGTGTCAGTCTGCCTCTTCCTGAAAGTGCCGACACTTGGATTCACAGGGCTTGTCAGGGCAAGGGGCCCTGCCCTCATTTGTGTATCTACACTTTCAAATGGAACTGTGGTCTAGTAGTTACCATCTAATTTCAGTAACAGGTAAAAGGAACTATACTGAGATACTAATTTTTTTACTTAAAAAATTAAAAAAAATTTTAGTACCTGTTTGCAGTACTTGCAGTTTATAATCAGTTATCTTGGGGAGTTTGGTACATATATGTGCTATGGTTTGTTTCGGTTTTTTATCCCCTTCCCTCCCCCCATACACCATAAAATTCACCTGCTTTAATTTTGCAGTTGAACTGTCAGTGTATGTACAAAATTGCACAAATACCACCACAATCCAATTTTAGAACACATCGGTTACCCCAGAAAATCCCCTGTACCTGTTCACAGTCACTTCAGTTCCCACGCCTCACCCCAGATAACTGCTGATGTACTTCCTGTTTTAATTTTTATTCCTGAACATTTCTTATTAATGGAACTATGTAGTTTGTAGCTATCTAGCTGCTTTTACATAGCACAGTGGTTTTTGAGGCTTACCCACAGTGTAGCACAACTCAGTAGTTCGTTCCTTTTGTGACTGAATAATATTCCGTTGTACAGCTCTATCACATTATCTATTCATTGGCTGACAGGTATTTTGTTTCTACTTTTTATCTATTACTAATAATCCTGCTACACTAAGCACTTAGCATGTTTTACGCGTAAGCATAGATTTTCACTTCAGTCGAGTGAATATTTAGGAATACAATTGCTGGAGTGTACAGAAAAATGTATGTTTGCTGGGGATTTAGCTCAGCAGCACAACACCTGGTTGGCAAACACAAGGTCCTGAGTCTGATTCCTAGGAGAGAGAAAGAGACAGACACAGACAGACAGACAGCCGGACAGACAGAAAAAGATGTATGTTTAATTTTTTAAAACTATCAAAATAGCCTTACCATTTTAAGTTCTCCCAGCCACATATGAGACGTGTGTGTCTCTGTATCTTCCAGAACATTTTTTGTTGCCTTCTTTATTATAGTCATTCGGTTGGGTATGAAATGGGATCTAATTGTGGTTTTTAATGACCAGTCATGTTAAGGATGTTCTGTGTGTTTATTAGCTGTTCAGAGATGTTCGCTAATGAGTGTTCATTCCAATTCTTACATACATTTTACCTGTATTGTCTTACTATTTAGTTTTAAGCATCTCCTTTCTGGACATTCTGGATAAAAATTTCTTACCAAAACCTGAATCATAGCTCTTCCTCCTAGTATCTGTCCTGCCTTTTTGTTTGATGAGTTTTAAATCACCTACTTGGCACCCAAACCAGGGTATGTGTATCTAGTGTCTTTGAAAATTTCATAGAATTATGGTAACATCATGCTATATAAATACAATTGTTTTGAACCAAACTATTAAGCTCTTTAAAATAACAAGTAAATAATATGTTTATGCCTTGAACTTTAAAATCAAGTGATCTGTTTGAATAATCTACCATTGTTTGAGCATATGAAATTTCAGCAGTGACTCTGGTCATGTGAGGGTGATTATGTGTGTTTATTCGACATTGTCTTGTACCAGGTCAGTGGTGATGATGATCAGTTAAAATCCTGTTGTACACATAGGATCTGACCGTGTTGTACTCATAGACATACAGAGTAGAGCTTCAGCCAGTAGAACTGTTGCTGTTGGATGGCAAAAGACAGACATTGATCAAAAGGCACAAACTTTCGGTTAGATGGAAGGAATAAAGCTTTACTGATCTATTGCACCAAATTATGGTCTGTCAGTTAAAAATAAAATGAATTAGCGTGGATTCACGTAATTCTGAGGATTAGCCAGTGTGGTCTCCTATCATCTAGCTGCTGTAATAACAGCTTTTACTGACACACTTTATGTAATGGAGAATTTAATACTCCCTAATGCAGTTCATTTTGTTTTTAGGTATCTTACCTTAGTGAAATGTCCCTCTTGTGTCTGATCAAAATTGGTATTTCTGTAATTTCTGACTCTCGTATGAATTTTTTGCTTTTATTTTTTATTATGTACCAAATTACAATAAACAGTGATGTAAAATAACAGATATTTCTCATCTCATAATTTCTGTAGGGGTCCAAGCATAACATAGCTGGATTCTCTGCTTCAGGGATCCCTGCTTATCAGGCTGGTATCTCCTCGCAGACTTGCATGAGGATTGATCCACTTGCAGACTCCTTCGGGATGTTGACAGATGGCATTTGCTTGTAGTTAGAGGACTGAGGTTTCTGTGTTCTTACTGAGTACTGATGGGGACCTGTACTCACCCAAGAGCCTGCCCACGGTCACCTCCTCAGGGTTCTTTCTATAGGCAGCTGACTTCCTCAGCCAGGAACAGAAATTGGCTCTCATTCCAATCTACTAGCACAGAGGCTTTTTAAAAAACATCATACAATCACAGGGGTGGCTTCTCATCAGCTTTGTCATATAAAGTACCTTCATTAAGGGAATGAAATCTCATTACCTTTGTTGGATTCTGTTGATTATCAGCCAGTCATAATCTCTGCCTGTATTCTGTTGTGGATCTTATCAGGGTCCCAGAGAAAAGACAAAATTTGCATCACAAATCTCTTTGAGATAATTTTATTAGAATTCACATCACACATGTCCTTGGGATAACTTTATCATTTCATCTCCACCTTGGGCTTCCAAATATATGTACCTACAGTAAAACCTTGGTTTGTGAGAATAATTGGTTCTCATCCTCCAAAGCACTTGTGTATCAAAGCAGCAAAAGAAAGACAAACTGGTCGTCATTATGTTGGCCAGAGCTGTGGTCATCTGGAGGCTGGGCGGGGCCAGAGGACCTGCTTTCACATTTACTCAAATAGCTGTGTGCAGAGGCTTTGGGACTTCATTGTGTTGTTTTGCTGGTTTAGCAAGTTAACACTTCTTAGAAATGTTTACTCATCTTGCAAAACACTCCTGGATCAACATACTCGCAATCCAAAATTTAACTGTATGAGTATATATATTTGATTATATCAAATATATCAAAGTCTCTAGAGTATCTTTATCTGATGAAAAAATATTATAAGGTATGCTTTTAGTTCTAACAAATGATGTTATACTTTCACTATAGGATTTTTCTTTAAACTGTTTTCCCATAAGTTCCCTAGAATTTATGTTTGGTTGGAAGCCATTTCTTAATTTTAGCATTGTTTGCTCTCTGGAAAGGCTGAGAATTTTCAGTATTACCAAGTCTCAACTCTTTCACCTTTGATAGTTCTTCCTTTGGTTTGTGTTTCCTCTCTCT